GCTCTGATCACACTATTTAGGAGGAGAAAAGTAGATAAGATAGATAGATCGCATTTGTAAGCTGACAAAACTTCATTTTTGCCCCTCTTTTTTTTTTTGTTGTGGTGCAAACTGTCCCAATCCCTCTCCTGCATAATAAGGTGTCGCCGCCTGCCGACCACCAGGGCTTTTCATTATCTGTAGCACACCTTTTGAATAATGTGCGTTAGGAGGTGTAGGGAGATAAAAAAAAAAAAAAAGAAAAGAGAAGAGAAAAAGGAGAGGAGAGAAGGTGAGAGAAAAAAAAAGAGCAGAGCAGGTGTGGTGGGGAAAATAAATAGGAGATGAGAGCAGTGGAGAGGAAATCAGTTCGGATGAGGGAAGAAAAGAGAGGGTAGGAGAGGGGATGTGGAGAAAAAAAAAAGAAGAAGAGATGAGTCTAGGAGAGAAGGAAAAGACACAGGGTAAAGTGACAAAAGAGGAAGGGAGAGGAGAGAATTACTTTCTAGTCCATCTCTACAGTATCATCCTCTGTGACAAGTCCTGAAGAGCAATCTGTTACTGTCTTGGGTTATGGCAGATTGTTCCCTTCAAGATCAGCAGTACCAAATTGTGTGATAAGATGTCAAAAATGCTGGATGTTCTGCAAAAAAAAAGACTGCAGTAAGTTGAGCCTTTTGCATTTTTATTGTTGTTGGATCATTGAGCACTTATCATCTAAGACAAAATATCACTTTTAATTACTTGTTTGAGCCAGATAAGTGATTCGAGGGCGCAAAATCTGCAGACGTCTGCCATCTTCAGCAAGTTTTTGCTTCTAACTTTATTGTCTATCTAACACTAACCTATAGTATTGTATATGATGACTGCAGGCCAGGCGAGGCAGGTAAGGCTGTGCTGAATAATCATAGACTCATACTCTGCTAGCCAAGCAGAACGCATCGCCATGCTGTTGCAAAGAAGGGATATCACTTCACACAGTCGCTGCATCAAATTCAGACTACGGCTACGCCTCATTGTCTTCCAGTTTACAAGTGAAAAAGAAAAAACCGGTCTGTTCATTTCATCAGAACTTGGAAACATATTACATTATCAGCCTATTCACATGTTGTTCATTCATATCAATATCCACTTGTACTAATGGCTCAGGTTGAGTAGATTTTTCTTCAGCGTCGAACCATCTGTGCTGTATCGAGGACCTTTTCGAGCTCATGTCCTATAGGTTTCAAGTGCAACAGGCTTGTTTTCAGCTTAATGAATATGCCACATGAGAGCCGAGCGTACGCATGCAATTTGCGCTGTGCAGAGCTGTGATACTTGATGAACACAAACCCTCGCTCACACACGTGCATCCACACACACACACGGCTATAGACTTATTGAATGGCACACTAGAGAACACAGGAACATTTGTTGAGGGAGTCGGTCAGAGATAACGAACATCATATTAATGAAAGCCTCACTCATTGTCCGTGCTCCTCCCTGTCTGTTTGTCTGACTCTTTTCTTTCTCTGCTCTCTTGATGTTCCTGCTCACCTCCTTGCATTCTTCTCCCTGTTTCTCTGCCTTCAATCCCTCTCTAGTCCAAGGTCTTCCTCTCTGTCTCTGTCTCTCTTTTGATGTTGCTCTCTCTCAACCTTTTTGTTACCTGCTACTCCTTCTCCTCTTCCCTGCTCCCTCTGTAACTCGGGGACCCCTCCCCGCCACCTCCAGCTCCCCACCACCATCTCTCTTTCTTTTCTATAAAGTTTGTGCTGTCGGGCAATTAATCATTTTTCTTAGGACCCGGTATATTTTATAAGGGAGTGTCTGACCTCGGATATGGGCACCCAGTGCTGTGCCAGCTTGAAATGACACCAACCATCCTTCCCCTCCTTCTCTCTCTCTCTCTCTCTCTCTCTCCGCCTCCAGTCTTGCCTTGTCTTTCTCCTGAATTTTAAAACCTCATATACAGCGTTTCTCTTCCTCCATACTGCATCTCATTTATTAGCTTTATATATGTGCTCTCTGTGCGGAATCCCGCTCATATACTTTAATGACTTTTTAAAAATTGAAAACAAAGATAAAGCACTGTAATACATGCTCATTTCATTACAAATCTGTGCTTTAATTTAATGCATGAAATAGAGAATATTTTACACATAGGACACATTTATCACATTTCCCAGTTCTTGATCTTTGTATTCTTATTCCTCAATGACAGCATACCCACATGTCCATCCAAAGTATGGAGCCCATGATGCTGCCATGCAGTGGTTGCAGAATCTTGAACATTGCTTCTCTGTGTCCCTTTCTGTCCTTCTTCTCTCTGACTTACAGTGCAATCCTGCAGGTTGTGATCAGACAGGAGTTTTATTCTTCTGCTCAAATGCAAAGCACAGCTGTTCAGTTTGCTGGCTGCAGAGCTCATAGGCAGGTCACATTATTCTTGTTGCCAAGCAGCACAAAGTTTGACAGCAACTTGCAGGTCACTGGTCAGCCTGAGCTACTCTGAGATAACATAGAGTGATAGTCATGAAAAGTCAGACGATAGAGTTAGCAGCCTCTTTGCTTGCTGTTGCTGTTTTCAAACTAAATAATTGTTTACTTCCCTTGGATTTCATTGCTTAAGCGAGGGGTGTTACTGCATTCGTAATACTGTTAGGATCGCAGCTCTCCGCGCCTGCAGTACTTTATCATAAACCAGAGTTACACCTTAAAATCAATTTGCCACATATATTTGATCATGGTGATCTTATGAATAACGCAACGCAAAATATTGATTTCACAATTGAATCCAGCTTCCTCTCTGCATCTCTGTTTCAGGGGGTAGAAAAAAAAAAAAACATCAACATGTCATTGCTATCTCCCCGTTGCAGCAAAATTCGAAAAATTATTGTTCGGAACAAAACCTTTTGCAGATGCAATCCACAGTACAGCTTATATGACCTTAAAAAGTTCAGAAAGTCCAACTCTACACAATAAGGCAATTCCAAGGGAATAATTTTGCAGCCAAGCCCAGCAAGTCTGGGAATGTTTCCATGATTGAGCCGCTATGGAGTGAATGAACTGCGGTTTAACAAGGCTGCAACACGTACTGATTGTTTCACGGTGCATTGGCTTTAATATTCCAACATGCGTTTCATTTCATCTGTGTGTGTGTGTGTGTGTGTGTGTGTGTGTTATATATATATATATATATATATATATATAGAAAGAAAAAAAGAAAGAAAGAAAGAAAGAACGGTTTCGGTAGAGTTTACTTGAAATAGACATGCTAATTTGATACATCATCAGTTAACTCATTTATTTTTGGGGTTTGTTGTGCGCATGTCTTCATATTCCATTCAGTTTCACTTCACAACTCTCCCCACAGTTTAGGTTCCAGATCACACCGGTTTTATTTAAGTTTCTTTAAACAGATCATTTGATCTGGCACGAGCCACTTGGACTTCAACATTAACACCCCCACCCATAGCTGGAGGGACTGGAGAGCACACATCTTACCATTTGCCATGACAGATACCTCAATTTTATATAGATTTTGTAATAACTGTTTGTTTTTTATACCTGCTGATGAGGTTATACATGAGACAAGTAGATCCATGAGTGCATTCTCAGAACTATTTACCACCTGCATGTGAGAGCTTAACTGTGGAACTGTCAATATACCACCTGAGTAAGCATACAATCTAAAAGAGAGCCCGGAAACAATTTTGCACTTCAGAAAGTGAATGCAATGAAGTAAACTAGATTTGCCACGGTTTCTGCCCTGCCTCTGGCTTAGAACTAAGGCATTACATCAAGTGGCCAGAAAAGTTAAGGCCCATGTCTAGTGTAATGCAATCCCCTACAATATCCTTTGTAATACTTAGATGCCTAATGGTCTAATGCTGAGAGTGTGTTAAAGTAATAGGCCTATAGTTTTTTGCACGGCTGCACTGCACTGCTTTAAACTGAAAGGTTTATCCCATCTCATACATATGTCAACCACAGCATGCCAAAAAAAAAAAAAAAAAAGGCCACAGAGTAGCTATTGCTGTAGCCGGGAAAATTTCACATTTCCACAGATATAATATTTATTGCAAGGGTAATGTACTGCGTTACATTAGTCACAGAGTGCTTAGGTGTAATTTCATCAGGAGACAGGGAGACATGTCACCCCCGCTGATTTCACATAAATCATTTGTCCCCCTCAATTAACTCCATCAAGTGTCTAGTGCAATCTCAATCTCCCTCCTAGATCATAGGAGAGAGGACGAAGCAGAGAGACACACAGAGCAGTCTTTGGTTCTTTTTGGCAAATAGCAGGCTTAGTCATGGACAGATAACCCGGTCAGGAAGGAAATTTCACTATTTCACTTAGTCTGGCTCGTGTCACATGTTCTGAAATGTGACCCGCAAATTATTAAAAATTAATCTAAAAAATTACAATTAAAATAATATTTACTATTCTGCACTGTGACTTGTGAGTTCTGATAAACGTTCACATACAATATAATTCTCTAACGGACAGGTGGTATGGTTAGAAAACCCCTAAAAACCTAATGTTGTGAAATAAGAATATGTTTAATGAAACCTGTAAATACAAAATCACATTTTTCAGATTTTGAACCAGTAAGGAAACAGGAAACCTCCAGGTAGAGACTGTAAAAGCATGGCAAGTTTTTATCATTTTCTTATTTTCTTTTTTATGCATTTTCATAAATTAAATTCATGACCTTCGTTTTTTTTCATCGATGCTCACTTTTTTTCTACTTTAGTCATTTGTTTACTCTTTCATCCTATCAGTCAGAATAGAATTTAAATCAGAATTACAGCTAGAACACCCTTTTGTGTCAGGCCTAGCAATGACATAGCATTTTGGCGATTCGTCCCCCAAAATACTGATACGGACAGTAAGAACTCGGGGAGCTGCATTAGTATTGCAGCGTTGTCCACTGAAAAACTACAAATCCCAGATGCTTCCGCATTCAAATTACTCTCCGCTGATTGGCCGACTCAGCGTCCAATCCGTTGGCGGAGACGTGTCTCACTGTCAGAGCATCCTTCCGTCATGGCGTCTGTTTGGGCTAAATCCGCTGTCAACCTGCATATCCTGGCTGTTTTCTTCGTCGTACTGACATGTTTGCCGCCCGGGGGAGGACAAAAGAAGAAAGAGGTAACGCATCAACCACCAGAATGTGTCTTTTCAAGCGAACGCCGCCGTGCTCTCGAAGGAAAGGGCTGCGCAGTTTGAATCTGCCGGTGTTCGTTAAGCTAGCAAGGGTTAGTCAGGCTTGACCAGAAGTGTGTCGAAGAGAAGACCTGGCTGTTTAATATTTGGGGACCAATAATTTTCACTTGCGTGTTGTAAATGAAAGTGACGCTACCTAAACGCTGTGTTTTTAACGTTTCGTGGTGGTCTCTTTACTGTACGCTCTGCTGGCTTTGTGTCGTTGACACTCGCACATGAGTGAAAACAGCACAGCACGCCACCATAGGCATTGTACGGAAGTAGCACTGACATAAACCAACGTGTTAACACTGACACTTTCACAGTGCTTTGAGGTTAGCGTTGCAGTGGTGTACTATCGCCTATGAGGACTTTATTTAAATCAAAAGCGAAAGACGTGGGCGATGCAGCTGAGAATCCCACAATAACCACAACAGAAAGCTGCATGCATTTAGATTAGTGTAGCTGTGAGCTGCAGATTTGTTGTCAGAGAGGGTCTTGTGGTTATTCCGTCGAAGCGATAGCAGGTCTGTTTCATGTGAAAAGGAAATGAGGAGGAAGTTGTTGTGGCCTGTTTGCGCTGTCTATGTTTGTCACTCGGTCGAAAGGTCTCTTTGCTTTCACAGTTGGTTTGTTCACCAGATTGTTGACTAGGTTGCTTCTTCCTGTTTTACAGCAATGTGGGTGCTTTGTTCTTTATTTTCTATATCTTTTGCATCCTCATTTTTATATTCTGTTTTTGCACTATTCTTTTTTATGTGTGTATTTTTATACTTATGTTTGCACTATTTCTTATATGTACATTTTTCTTTCTAGTATGTGTGTATTTTTGTGTGTACTGCTGCTGACAACACTGTGAATGTCTCCACTGTGAGATAAATAAAGGCACATCTTACCCTCTCTTGAAAGTATTTGTATCATTCAGGCACTTAGATAGATCAGGATTACGTCACTGTGGTAAAAACAAACAAGACGCTGGCCAAACAGGAAATGTAAGATTTGATTTAACTCTTAAACTTATCATGGCTGTGCCTAAAAGTAGTGAAGCAGTATACTGAACGCTTCATAACAGGGAGGGCAGCGGGAACTGGGGCCTAAAAGAATGATTAGTTTTGTTTGGAAAGGATCTTGGATATTTCTTGGATCAAGGATAGGTATGGTGATGCCTTGAATAAAGCTTCACAGTTAGTTCTCAGACCTAACTTAATTTTACCTACTTATATATTTGAATATGATAATTTAATATGACTGCAGTATTACCAGTTACTGTGTCACATTCTAGTATAATGCAGGCAGGTGTCCTGAGTCAGGTTTGCAATAGGCTTTACACCTAGCAGTCTGTTATCTGTTGCAATTTAACCAACTATTTTAGCTTTTGGACTTGTCAAATGCAAACTCTGATTGTTGTGAAGTATTTAAGTTGCAAGTGAAGCAAGTTTGACAAGTGCAGTGTGCAACTTGTAATAATTGAACGGTGCAAACTTCTTGATGATTGCATTTTTTTTTTCATGTGGGCATGCTGTGGTCTTTATAAGAAAGGAAAAAAAACAACATTGCATTTTATACAACAAATTGCTTTGTCATGTTACATTGTGTAGTGCATTTTATGTGTGCGTTTTAGTGTTTCGCTTGCATCTAACATCATCATTATCTGCGATGTAAAAGTCCAAACAAATCGAAAGTAGTGCATCCTCATCATTGTTTGGTAATAAAATCCTGAACACTGAGCCCCTCTCCTGAATGACTTCTGATAGCACTGTCAGCTGAAATGGTGATCATATTGAATGGCGGTGCAGGAAGTGGTGTCAGCATCTGGTCTGGTTCAGGAGTAGTTTAGCTGGACTCGTCAGCATTCAGCAGTGGAGCTGAGAGCGTCAGATTGTGGCAAAAAAGAGTTTTAAGAAGCAAGGTGTGTGTATGACTTTCCTTTTCCATCACCTTTCTCCCTGTTTTATTTATAGTTTGGTTTGAAAATTGTGATGATCCGTAGCCTGACCTGCTATACTATCGATATGTGCGCTATAACACAGCAAAATAAAGTCTGATGCTTGAGCTGTTAAATGCAGTTTGAACTGGGGTTTTGAGCATTTTCATGATCTTGTGTTAATACCACATTGTGGACTTCCGGGTTTAGAACAAGTCAGACGGCTGACTTTGCAAATAAATAGAAACTTCACCCAGTGGTGTAATTGGTGGACAAATATTTAGCAGGTGAACTAATATTTGAATGATTGAATTGAGTATGTCAACAAAGGGATGAACAAAGAGCTAATTGAGTGGAGGAATAATTGATGAATAACTGGACAGATTAACCACCGATGGAAAAGCATTTGAATGAGTGAGTGAATGAATGAATAATTGAGAACGACGTATTCGCTCTGCGGTTTGCTGTAAACATATCATTTTTCTGTCATTAATTCTGATGGCTTGTGAAGCACATGTGTAATTAATGTGTCACATTACATTTAGTACACTTTCGTTAGTAATACACCTTTAGGTATGTTCATTCTCTTATTGCCAGCAACAAGGATCTTCTAATTGATAATATATTTACATATACACCGACTAGCCACAAAAATAAAACTTCCCAGATCTCAATCCGATAGAGCAGCCACGGGATTAGCCGAAACGAGTCGGATCCACAGAAGTCCTACCCCGCAAAGCCCTAATGTCCACTGCCAATGTCATGGTACCAGACACCGCTGAAGTCTCGTGTCCATGCCTGTTTTTGTGGCATAAGGGGTGGTTTTATTGTTGTGGCTGATCAGTGCCTTTGTTAACATTTTGACCAGCATCCTAATAAGAGTTAATCAGTGTGTAGTGGGAAAAATGTAGTCTGTGGCTGACAGAAATTGAAAATGTGAAATCTGTAATATTTCTAAAAGTTGCAATGAAGAGGTTAAAATAATGGATCACTCTTAAATTCTAACATTTTTTTTATTTTTACCCAGGGGTGCTCTGCATCTCTACATCAGTGCTTATTTTCAGCAACGCCTTGTTTCACATTCACAAAAGTGCACAGGGGAGCTGGCCATTATAGCCGCAGTCTGCTATTAGGGACTGACCATCTCAAGGACACCTCTACATTATCTAATGAGTGACAGAAAGAGCATTTTTCAATTACTTACTCAGCTGAAATGTATCCAGCTATTATTAGTTTGCATCTCTGACATTGAAGCAGCTGTCTTGAAAACTTTTGTGTGAAATATTTTGTCTGCCAACGTTTAACTTTGATCCATCCTGTCGGAAAGATCTGAGTGTGACTTTGTACCAAATAGCAGACAGGAAGTAGCCACGCACGCACGCACACACACACACACACACACACACACACGCACACACACACACACACACACACACACACTGATACANCACACACACACACACACACACACACACACACACACACACACACACACACACACACACACTGATACAGCCATACTTTCAATGAGCCACAGGAGAGATATTGAGGGGTTATAATGTGAGAAATGTACTTTCCCAGTTGCCTGCCTGAGGCCATGGCAGAGGAGGTGGAGGCGGCAGAGGAGGTGGAGGAAGATCTTATTTAGCTGGAAATGGCCAAAATGGTGAGGCAGCACTTTGTATTCATCTCACCAATTTCAGCTTTCCCTCGCTGCCCTTTCGTCTGGCCCTGGCCACTGCATGCTTTAGCTCTAAACTGTAGGGACGGGTAACATGCGCCAGAACTTATATGTAAGGCTGACTTTAAACTTTTAAATATGGAAATGTATGTTAAACAAGCACACACTGTTTTGCATATTTATTTGTTTGCTCTTGTCTCAGGGTCACAAGTCACGTTATCATTATGTGTAGAGCTACAGCTGTACGGCAATCATGAATTTATGTTGATTATATACATTTTTAGACGATGTTCAGTTAAGGGAAAGGGATGAGGGAGAGCGTAAAAGACAGCTGACATTAAAGCACCAGGCTTCAGATTTGATGGGTTTGTAATCTTGACATTGTTTGTTGTTTGAATTTACTGGGTTTTTTTGTGTGTGACTGATCATCCAATAAATAGAATCCCTGCTGTTTTTTTATGTGCTTCTATTTGTCATAGACTTTATTTTTGAAACCAGTTTTAATGCCAACTTTGATCAAATAATTCACTCATGGTTGCTAATTTCACATTACACTGTGTCTGCTTCGTAATAAAATGCCTCTAGTTATTCATCAGCTGCCTGTTACAAACCGTTTCTAGTTCTGTGATATGAATTGACTTCACAATTCCTTTGTTATACACAAATCCTACAAAGGTCTAAAATTAGTGTTTAACTCTAAGTGTTTAATATGAACATGCAGTAGAACAAGTTGAGTTCCCATTACCAGGGTAAGAAAGGAATGGATTAATTACTAATCTCATAAGCATTTACACTTACATAAATGGAAGAGAGGCACAAAACTTAACAGTTATTCTTTTACAGTGAATATTCATAGTTGGTATTTTAAATAGGCTCTCTTCTTGGCTGCATGGAATCACATCTTTAGCAGATCAGTTGATTTGCAGGACTCAGAGATCAACATTGCTATCCCGATTCCAGCACAGCGACTGAATATTCGGCTATTCGGGTCCAACGCTAGAATGGAAGGCTGCTGTGTAAGTGCAGATGGTCCTGAAGCTGAGCTGCAACAACCTTTTCCAGCACCTTCGAAACAAAAGGAAGGTTGGAGGTGGGCCTGTAGTTGGCTAGGACTTCCGGGTTGAGGGAGGGTTTTTTTTTCAGAAAACAGCTGCTTTGAATGCAGATGGATCATGGCCAGGCTGTAGGGAGAGGTTTATTATTGTAGTGATGAGAGGACGTATGGCAGAGAGGTTTGATTTAATCAGTGTTGGGGGGAAAGGGGTCCAGGAGGCAGGTGGATGGTTTCATTTTCCTGATGAGGGCTTCTGTTTCACTCTGTGAGACCTCAAAGAAGCACCA